TTATATATCTTATGTTATCTTCGTCTTCATCATGTATATGAAGTTTCAACGGTATCGGCATATAATGTTTAATGTTTTGCACTTTTGGTAATAAAAAGGCACTGCCACTGGACAAGAAAATGTTAGTTAGAAAATTTGAATGTTATGTAACAATTACATAGATGTCGATATTAATTATGTCAATGGTCAGGCTGTATAAATTTCAAAATATATACAACGATACATTTTTTCCGGGCAGCGTTATGTCTGATTAGCATATATTAGCCTATGGTTGGCATTTTATTGCAAAATTCAACAATGTATATGCATTCAACTTTATACATTTTGCATGCAATTTCAACCTTGAAACGTATACCAGTAGTCATATTCAATTGGGGCTTGCCTTGTTTGACCACTACTCACTAGTTGCTTTCTATAACCTGTGATTAGGAATTATACTAGGAAGCAACGAAGTTATTAAATACAAATGTAATATAAGTCATATAACATGCATGTATATATGTAATATACTTATTCAACAATGAACATATTCTCATTCGACACCAAAATGTATATTTTTTCAACTTCAAGAGAGTGAAGTTTGTTCAAGCCGAGTTATGCGAAAGGTAACGTCCGGGAACTTAAATTCCCACTCCCAGGCATACTGTTGACATTTATCTGCATGCAACAAATCTGGAACCAGTCCCCCATCCTATAATTCCAGTGAGTTATTTCCGTTTGAGGATCAATCTCGTACCCAGAGCCGATGGCTCTGGGTACGAGATTGTTTGAGAATCGCTTATCTTTTTCTCTTGAAGATCTTCGTTTAAAACCTTAATACTGTCTTAGTCTGTAGCTCGTTTAGCGTTTTCAGCTTCTTTTTAGTTTTTGTACAACGAATTCAGTTACCACACCTATTCCGCTTAATTTAAAGCAAAACCTAGTATACGTCCCTTAATTAAAAATGTGACTAAAAGCCTTTATTATTAGCATGACAAAATTACTGGATGCTGATTGGTTGAGAGGAGTACAATTATTTCATTAATTGTACTGCAGTACAATTAATGATTTTCCCAAAACAAACAAAATGGCGGAAAGGTATTTTTATAAACACAATCGTGCAATGAAATTGCCCTGGAGGAACTAGATGAAAATATGAACAAAAGCACCAAATTTTGCTTTAACAAAGGAATTAATTAAATGAAAATACGGACAAAAGCACCAAATTTTGGTTGAAAGTCTTGCCTTTGGCGAGAGAATATATGATGTTGACATTAGATAGCTTAAGATCTACGACGTCAGCTAGGACGTCAGGGCTAAGCAAAGGACTGGGACTAGGACGTCGTCCTAAATAAGTAAACTTCCACTTAAGATTCACGACGTTGACATTTAAACTATAAATACTTAGATTCTTTTGGAAAAGAGACACATTAATTCATAACCGTTTGCTATGTAACCACGATGGTAAAACCACGATGGTAAAACTCTTGTTGTGAGGTTGTCGACGTTAGGTGGACGACGAGCAAATTGAGAGAGACGCATGCACACTTCAAAAACTATTGCTAATTTACTTCCGATTGCCGCCCTAAAAATTTGACGTCGTTGATATTGAACTATCTACTTATTTAGGACGACATCCTAGTCCCAGTCTTCCGCTTAGCCCTGACGTCCTAGCTGACGTCGACGTCGTAGATCTTAAGCTATCTATTGAGAAGTATCCAATTTTGTCATGCTAGTAATAAACAAGTAATCATGCAATGTTGCTCGTACAATTAGGGATTAATACGGTGGCTCGTCCAATTTTGGCAAAATTTCCAAACATCACTCGTCCTATTAATCGCTAATTGTACGAGCAACATCGCATGATTACCTATTATAATTAATACTATATAATCAGTAATTAAGAACTTCTTCATATAAAATAGCTTGCACTGCCGCTTACGTTAGTCGTCGCGATTTACGGTACAAGAGTGCATGCGCATGAAGACTGACGACGTGCGAAACCTGCGTCACCTTCATTAACTGGAACAGCTGGAGGGTGATTTCTAAGCGGTAGCCGCGTGGTGAATGGAACGCTTGGCGTCACGTGAACCCTCATTGCGATATACAAATTTTATAGGAATATATTGCAGTAACACAGCAGGTATTCTCTAATACCTGATCTCCCTGTTTGAGAAGGGAAAACTCTACCAATAACCATTTATTGAACAATTTTTACAACAGCAACAATCGACTTGCGTTTAGTTAGCAAGCTATTCGAGATCGGAGGGTAGGGGGGGGGGGTTGCAAAATTAATTAACTTAAGTTCGTTTATAATTGTTAGACAGCCCGTAATCTGCATGTTACTGTGGCCCAGAAGTGCAACATCAAATATTAATGAAACATCAAATTCAAATTACAAACATTAAATTCACTAAATTACAAACATTAATTAAATTCAAAATTTAAACATCAAAAAATAGAAATTACTTAATATTTCATGCATAACAGCAGAACTGACTGCTATTATTGCTCTAGTACTCTCGTTATACGACACAAATTAATATCATTGTTATGGATGGCGGGAAAAGATGTTAATGTATCACAACAGATCTAGAAGTCTCGTCCGTGGAATTTGGTATAAATTTTAGTATAGTTCCAAGGGCTTGGCTCGAATTTGATAGAAAATATACGTGGAAAAGAATACAATGTACTGAAGTGAAAATGAAAGTGAAATAAGTGAAAATGAAAGAATATTAAAGCTATATAGAAGTCATAGCGTGAGTTTGAGCATGCAGTATATAGCACTATGACTACGTACTATAGCACTATATATGTAGCCGGGTTCCCAAGGCTGGTATAAAATACATTCATGAGACAACACTAGTCGCCAAAAGTGCAAGATAATTATATCCAGTGCACCGTTCCGGAAAGTACGTCACTGTGGCTATAGAGCCTCGTTTTCGTGTGTGTGACACTTAGTCAAACCCAAACGTGTTAATCACGAAAACGAGGCCTTACAGCCAAAGTGATGTACTTTCCGAAACGGTTTGTTCGTTATCATTCCACCTACTGTGAAATGTTCTATTTCTGTAACCTTATAGTTAGAACGCTACTTTTTTCTGTTATTTTTAAATGATACATCATCCATTGTGTAACTAACGCTGTTGTCGTAATCTGCGTTTTTGCGGGGACTTTAACACGCCCACTCTTGAGCCTGATGGGATGAAATCGACCTATTTTGATTCAATTTAAGGCTATGTTTACATTGTATCGGATCACTTTGCGTCCGACGCAAAAACCATACCGGATAGGGCTTCTGTTTACATATGAAATGTTGTTATCGTCTCAATTTCTGCAACGGACCGGTGGTGCGGCGGTTCGCTCTTCGAAGTGATGCGCGGTGTATCGGATCGGTTTTTGTAACGCTCTCATTGTAATGTAAACACCAATCGGAGCAATTTCGGTTCAATGCGTGACTCAAGATAGAATCTGGCAAACAACAACTTACTATTCTAATCATATATAGAAGAAAATACGACGGCATAGATGGGCGGGGCGGAAGCTGTTTACACCCGGGCCGTAACTTTTCGCGAACGAAACAAAAACTATACAATGAAAACATAGCCTAAGATTTAACTGAAATGAAATATATTAGCACAGTATCAGTACTTGACATATCAGCGCCGTGTACCGCGCGGGGTGGCATGCATGCGCAGGACAACTATATTCTTTGGTTATTTGGTTCTCATTGCAGCATCTATAGCTGGAACAATCTTGCGTACAGCCCTGATCAGTAAGATGCATGCAAAATTGTCGAAATAATTCGATCGGCGGGAGTTGCAAGTGCAACTGGGTAAATTAAATTTATAATATTTTATAGCATTTGATGAGATCGGTTATTAAATATTTGTTCAGACATACAAAAAGTACTAATGACCATCTTATTTTGTTTATATTATTTATAATGTTATTTTGCAGGTGCCCCAAAATTGCGACTGTTTGGCGCTCAGTATAATTGAAAGAAATGGCATCCACTAGGCTATATTTGCCTTTAATAAATTAGATTTCAGAAGGTCCATGTTACCACAACAAAGACAGTAAGAGTAAGAGCAAGACGCTACCCTTCGATTTATCGTTGTGCATATTAGCATAGAATTATAGCATGGAATTCCATGCATGGAATTTAAATTTCAACGCAATTTCTGCCACAGTGCCATGATGTATTGTAGTGTTGAAAGTGCATGCTCGTATAAATAACCGTGTCGGCGAGCATAATATATATATATAGCAAATATAATTATACTTAATAAATAAATATGGCCATCGTTTTATACCACGGATAAATTGCTTATATTCATTTCTTAATTGCTTTTAATATAAACACGTGGCAAATGCTCATCGTATTTCAGTGAGCTTGCGATAGATGAACCAGGCGGAAATTGTAATCTCTTATTCTGTTTCTGAAAGGCGAATCGATTTAAAAGTCACACGCCAACATATTCCTCGTGTGACTTGCTGTGGCTGTAGCATGCATGTCTGCATGCAAATGACTTCATCTACAATATAACACAATGAAATATATCACCTGCCAAAATTATTGAAATGTGTTTGTTGTCTCTGTACTTCTTTGAATAATTCGTAAAAATGCGTGTGCCAACAATATGCAGTTATTATAAGTGTGACTTTTGAAACATTTTGTTCAAAGTCTAGGCCAACAGGCAATCCTGTTCTGCATGAAAGCATTAATTTTAAGAAATTCTCTGTTTCTCATTCCTGATTTACCGTACTGAAAAATATTTCAGTCGGCCTCATGAGAAGCGTCCCTTCTACCCTGCGAGCAGAGCTTGCTTGCAGGCTACGTCCCTTCGGCCGCTTCTGAGACCTCGGGAAATATTTTTTTTCAGTACGGATCTCCCAGCCGATAAATAATATATATATATATGCATGGTATATACATGCATGTAAACTTAACCATTGCTTTTTAAATTTGAATTATATACTTCATTCACACAGGCATAACACTTGGCCTGCATCTCTTCATGATTCTCCTGACTGTCATCCTACTGGTATCCGGGTATAACATACTTCCAATTGACTTTGGTGGATTACCTCTAGACTTAGCCGAGGATTCAACCAAATTGCGCACTGATGCCTGGCTGTTCGCACTTGAAGATAAAGAAATAAGCCCATTGAGCGGAGGCCAACTGGAGCGAGGGGTACAATATCAAATTATGCAGCTCATCTATGAAGGTGATAATGTATTCTCGAAAGAAAGTCTCAAGACTATAAAATATAATGAAGAAAAGTTATTTAACAAAACGGATTATCAAAATAAGCTCTGCCAGTTGATCCAAACGAGACCAGGTGAAAATCGCACTTGCAAAGCACCATTGTCAATACTCAGATTCTTTGATGGAACCTATAGTGGTATAAGCCCAGCTTTCAACGATCCACACTTTGACAACATCAGTGGGGTGTTGTACGCGGCAAAAATGAATAATTTAAGTAAAGCTATACTTAATTATCATTTAGGTGAGTACTTCTCGTCGTTTGTCATGACTAAAATACGCCAAGCCTCTCCCTTGACGAGTAAAATTGTTTGATCTTAAACAATAAAATAATAATGTAGGGCGCGGTGTAGCTTAGTGGGTTAATTTCGGTCGTCACCCTGTACATTTATTCATAGTTTATTAATATTGTGTATTTATTTGTTATTATGCAGGGAAAGACGCAAAGATTACCAAAACAAAAGCATTCTCCCCTTATACAAGAAGTATCATATATACTGGCTGGCCGTACGTTGGATACACGAGCACTGAAGACCGCAAAGAAGACCAGTCTGAAAAAATCAATAAGATAATAGCGGACACATATGTGGAGACTTTCGAGGAAATGTACAAAGATGGAATTGGGGAATTAAAATTTTACTACAATAGTCAAGCAATGTTTGCGGATGCTATAACCAGACAAGTTATTTTGGACATGATGTTGGCTGTTGCGAGTTTTTTATTTATATTTCTTTTCATGTGGCTCCAAACAGGATCCTTATGGATCACCGCCTGGGCTATTTTTAGCGTTTTATCCAGTTTCAATATAACCAACTTGATATACAGGATTGTTTTTGATTACAGATACATTGGGATTTTTCATGTTCTATCCATCTTCATAATCTTAGGCATTGGTGCTGATGATATATTTGTTTTTATGGACACATGGAAGCAATCTCAAGGCAAGAAGTATAAGAGTCTCGCTCATCGTTTATCTGATGTTTACCGCCATGCTGCAAAATCGATGTTTATCACATCATTTACTACTATAGTGGCTTTCCTTTCCAATGTTTCGTCGCCTTTGTTGGCTATCTCATCATTTGGTATCTTTTCAGCTACTTTGGTCACTGTGAATTACCTATCAGTCATTCTCTTCTTTCCAACCGTAGTAATAACACACCACCTCAGTCGTAAAGGACAATGTTGCTGTTGTACACTTTGTTGTTGCAAAAGTTCGTCTATGGCAAACATTCCCACAGAAAGCAAAGAAAATTTAGAAACGGACAATTCATCAAGGGAGAAGAAGACGTTTTCGGAACGCATTATTGACTTCTTTGGAGGTTGGTTTTTCAGAAATATCATTGCTCATAAAATTGTTCGTTGGGTTATTCTTGTGATATTTTTGGTATTTATTGGTGTGTCAATTGGGTTTGCTACTCAACTCGAACCAGCTAAAGAACAGGTGAGTTTACAGAGAAATCGTAGTGAATTAGTTTTTGCATTAACTATTAATTATTAATAAGTAACTTATCAGTGCAAAGTATTAGATACGAGCGAACTTCTAGTCTTCTATTAATGGAAAGAGCAGATTAATAGGAAAATTGACCAACGATTGTGTACAATACCAATGGGCATTTACCTACCGCCGTGACTATGCATGTGGTCGCTTTTGAATGCCCCGCAGTAAGAAAATGCACATCATTTGAAGTGTATTGGGATAATGTCCACGCTTCGTTGGTGCAGTCGTCAGAGCAAGCGCCTAGCTTTCACCTCTGAGATCGTTGGTTCGATTCTCGCTATACGGAGTACAGATTCATGTGAAAAGAGTCTGTGTGAATGACAGAATGTGAGGGACAAATGTGTTGTAACTTGTGAACAACTGCGTTGTACAATTTATTGACAAGCTTACTGCAAGCCCGTTGCTACTGAAGTGAGGACAAGGCTGGGCCTCTTTTAATAATTTGTCAGTGGAGGGGCCATCAAGAGAAAGGGACTCAACTAGGAGGTGGTGAACGGGAAAAGGGGGAACTTGTCTGGCCCAGAATAATTTTGTGCTTGGGGCTTGATTTTCGGCATTTTTAGACGCAATTTTTTATTTACATATTTCATCTGCTAAACAAAGATTTGGTCATGGGAATACTAAAATATTCTTCTTAACTAAGTTATTCTTCCCTTTTTTGCTTATATTTTAGACAGAAGGGACCTTCACTGGTAACCGACATAGTTCACTGGAGGGGCCAAAACAGGGGGGAGGCAAGTCCCCCCAATCTATGGTATAAAAGAGGGCCTGACCCAAGGGAATTATGTACTGTAATTATTTTTTTTAGACCAAGATCTGGGGCCCTGATACAAATTGGGGAAAAGTTGATGATTTAAATCAAAATGCTTTTGTGAAAAGTCAAGAAGACTTTGTGGTTGTTGTGACTATAATTTGGGGATTGAAGGAACAGGATCGTGGAGAATGTCATCATACTGATTACAAATGTAAAGGAAAAACTGTTTTTGATAGGAGCTTTGATATGAACCCACCGCCTTGCCAGACAGCTATGTTGGTAAGTCATTATTCTGTTGCTCTTTGTGGTTCTCAGAAAAGACCAGAAAATTCTTGAGGCCATTTCTTATTTATACAAATATCAATTGGAGATCAGCGAGAAACCAATATTCAGGTCATGCCTGCCTTGCATTTAGGATTTGAATTAGTAGGGCTCCTGGATACCAGTGAAATTGTCATTATTATATATAGGCGAAGGAAATAATGAAATTAATCTAATGCCATATTATTGTGGTTATATGCGAGTTTCCTAAACTGATAATTATATATACAATTAATTATATTTATTATATAAAGTATAGTGCTTTATAGAGATTTCGAGCACTGATAAAAGATAATCTCACATGTGAAAATTATCGCTTTTCAATTATTGCTTTTCTGTAAAAATTAAAGACTGTCCTTTTCAAAGACTGTCCTTTATATAATAAACAGAAAAATACATGGGTGCTTGGAAATACCAGATTTATTTCTCGTGTTGAACATGATATCTCACTCGTTCGCTGCGCTCACTCGTGAGATATCATATTCAACACTCGAAATAAATGTGGTATTTTCGCGCACCCATTGGGTATTAGGCTATTCTCTATTTATTTTCTATAAAATATATGCATTTTAAATTATGACTATATTGCTATTTAAATTTACCGTTGAAGGATTTTTGTAAAAATCTCAAGACTTTACCTGAGAATAAGATAAACAGCTTAAAGCTGCGACGAAGTGAAGTAACTGGTGAAATAGAGACAGAATGTTTCTTGGAAAGAATGGACGAGTACTTGGAAGTAAGTTTGATTTATGTTAATATTATACCTCAAATTCAAATTGTCCAATCAAAAACAGCATTTGTACCACGTGACAATGGGATTTTTTACGGCATTGCACTCAAATTCATGATTTCGCAATGCAGCGTGAGATACTATAATATACCACGGTAAATCCACCGTGGGATATTATAGTATCTCACGCGTGACGCGTGGACACCGCGCTCTGAAACAATATGGCGTTCGCGAGCTGTTGTTTGTAATTTTATACAGAAGATTTATTGATTTAAGTTAACCAAAGATTTTCAAGACGTATGTTACCTTCAATGATCCAAAGTATACATGCTCAAATATTTTAATGAGAAAACGTCAAAAACTCAGGCATATATAAGAAATTAAATTTTATTCTGAACTTGGTGGGTTCTTTTAATACTTTAACTTTCGGTATAATGTATCATTTATAGACCCGGAACGAGGGAGATTCGTCGAAATGTTACCCTCAGTGATTTTATTTCCCTCGGGGCTAAATATCATCACTTCGGGTAATATTCCGCCGAATCCCCCTCGCTCCGGGTCTATAAATGATAAGGATTCCCTGCAAGCGCGTTATGCGCTCATTGTGAGCTGACATTAACAGGGATATCTGTCTGTGTCGATAACTCAAACACCTTCAAGTTGCTAAAACAATTAAAGTCTTTCTCACAATTTAGTTGATCATATTAGGGAAATAATTATAATTTGTTTTCGCAAATGCTGTTGCTTTGTGGCTATACCACGCATATTTATTTGTCAAAGCTAGCATCCGGATCCGTAAGTCCGGATTGTCGAGCCACGGTCGAGCGGATTGTCATCACTCAGTGCAATAACAGTAACCACAAGGCCGCGATAACTGGCGATCTATATAAATAGCTAAAATCGGCAGTCATTCTAGAAATAATGGTTTTTCTCTTATGGCCTTTCGCATTTAAGGATGAAGGAAAGAGTGCCAGGTATCCAAATGGATCAGACTTCTCATTGGTGATCAATAGCAACAAAATGAGGAAGTTAATGACATATAACCCACAGCTTTATAATGTCTCATTACTACCTGAAACCTACTACAGATACTTCGAAATCGGAATTGGTTTCTTCTTAACAAATGGCGGTAGCAGACGATACGCCGAAACTTACGACTTTAAGAAATATGGTGATTTAATTGGTGGAGCAGCTGATCCTACATTACAGCAAAATGCGTCCAGAAACCAAAATTTTCAAGGTACGTAAAGGAGGAGTAATTCAGGGAACAAGACACTTTGATTTTTGATGAGCATGCATGCACTCTTGGATTTGTTTTACTTTATTTCATTTTTGTCCTCAACCGGCTAATTAATAAGGGACACCGACACCGGATTTTCAGTTGATCTGGTTAGAAATATCCCTTGAAATAATAATGGAAGCCATTGTAAAGTCTTAAAGCTGGATTTCCACTTGCAAGAAAAATTTCGCAGTTGAAATTTTTGCTGTCGAAATTTTTCGCCCCATTTCTTTTGAAATTGTGAATTTTAAAGTGAGCGGTCAAGTAGAACTGATTAGTCGGATGTTACAATTCAAGCGAAATCAAGCGAAATATGTCAACGACGAAATATTCTCTCACAGAAATGTTGCTTTGGTTCGCCAGCCTTTCTCAGCATTAGCCTGCCGAGAACGCTAAAGATTCAGTATATTATTACAAACACCGCGACAGGTTTCGACACTAGCATTACAAAAGTAAATTGAGCAAACGTTTACCGTCCTTGCAGAGTCAGAAGTGGTATGAAATTATTAGTTAGCAGTCCTTGAGATATTAGAGAGGTTCAGATTTGACCTCGGATACATCCATAGATATCTTATATACACTAGATAGCGCATCTCTTTCAGTAAAATTGAAGCCAAGAATATTCCAGCGGTTACCCCCATTTGAATAGATGGCGGCCATGTTGGTGTTTCTCACTCGCTATTAGACGCTTAAAAAACAACAATAACTTTCATCATTTGAATAGTTTAAAAATGTATTTGGTATAGGTTTACCTTAATATTTAAGTTGGATACATCAAACACATGGTCCCTAAATCGTAGTGGAAGTCAAATCTGTACCTCACTAATCTTTAACTGCTCGTCATTAAAAACCAGAAAACGTCGTCGCATGCCTGGTAGAAAAGTATTAGATTTAGTTTTAAAATCTTTTTAGGAAATAAATACGGTCATCGTGTTGCCTATGTGGGTATTTCAATAAATACAACTTTGAATCCAGTTGCATTGGGCTATCAGGAGGGCCTACCAATTTACAGAGAGTGGGAAAAATTTGTTTCTGACCAGGTAAAATGTATATAGCTGACTTTTATTGTGCAGAAAGACTTCATTTATTTCTATGTAAAAGCTTTATATTCGCTCCATCTAAGGGAGTGGTCATTATTTATGGGGAGGGAGGGGGGTGTTGGGAAATGGGAGGGGGGCAAACGAAGTTTTACCCTTATAAATAGGGGGGGAGGTAAAAAAAGTTCTAACACAGAGAAAGGGGGGGTCATAAAAGTTTTTGAACTTAAATACCATGTCTAGAGGTCTGATTTCTATAATCACAAATAGCAAAAAAGAAGACTCTGAAAATGCTATTTTCAACGATCTAGAGACTCAAAATTTTCAAAATTACTGCTCAGCGCCAACCATGGTAGCGCCTCGCGATCGTGGGAGTTGGGCCCACTAAGTTTAACAAGCTTTAATTCTACCCCCTGAGTGACCCAGTTGTGGTATTTACATAAAGATACCATGCAAGTACACTTAACTGATCAGATTCGGTCTATCAACGCACAATGTAACGCTGTATATCCAAAAATCTGTTTCAGAAAATGCTCACATTTCAGTTCTAGGGGTGGAAAAATTCAAAAAATTTTCTGGGGGAGAATACCCCCAGACCCCCTTACTACTACTACGATATCACACCAAACTTTTTGTCACCAACAACCATCTGTCTTCTCTACACACTCAATATAGTATGGTCCCTTTTTGTAGATGCCCACCCGCCAGACAAGTTCTTAAAATCTCATTTCGCTGTATGAATACGGGTCATGGGTTAGCGCTATGGTAGGACAAATGTTGCATTGCAAAGTAGTAACACATGATATATATTTTTTAATCATATATGGTTGAATCATATTCACCAGGGGCCGGTTGTTCAAAGCTTGGTTAGTTTAACCCTAGGTTAACCTAAAATTCAAAGCAAACTTCCTGACAGCTTGTCTATAAATTTGGAAATATTTCTTCAGAAATCTTGTCTGGATGGATAGGAGTTTACTTGTCTGAAGTTTTGAAATAAACAGACGTGCAGAAATACACAAACTAAAACAGCAGGTTAAACTTTTAACCCAGGGTTAGCGCTAACCCACCTTTGAAGAAACGGCCCCAGGGTAAAACATCATGAGCTAGATTGAACAGATTGTCCTAATATCTAACTTTACCTGCAATGCACACCTGTTTCATTGCTGTTAATTTTTCAATCTACACTTGGGGGGGGGGTCAGAAAAGTTTCTACTTTTATGAGGGGGGAGGCACAAAAAGTTTGCCTTCAGTCTGGAGGGGGGGGACAAAAAAGTTTTCAATCCTTATTTTCCCCATTTCCCAACTCCCCCTCCCCACAAATAATGACCACTCCCTTATGGTATATCGCAATTTCTCTGTTTAGCACCCCCCCCCCCAACCCTTCTCCCCACCCCTTTCTCCTGTAACCAATTAATTAATGTATAAAATCGTGAAACATGAAAGTGTTGTATTTCAAAGATAATTATGATATTTTACTGATAATCACAGTACCCGATGTTGCATATATAAAGAGAATCAAACGTGCAAAACAGTTAGAATTAAACCCCCCTCTCCCCTTCTAAATTGGATAGAGAAATTATGGATTGTGATATTATTTAAAGCCTGAAAAACAGATTCGCTTGCAAACGTTATGCAATTGCTGTAGTCGGGTATAAAATAACATCATATTTTAAATAAGTTATTATTGTAATGTTGGCTTGGAAGTGTTCCTGGCGAGGGCTCGATACGGTACATTGCTCAAAATGTTTGGTAAACTCCATTAAAATGCACAGAACATAAAAATATCATATATTTTTAAAATATTCCGATGTCATCTTGTTTTACTTCAGCCCTGTTTTCGCACATTTCATACTTCAGCCCTGTTTTCGCACATTTCTCTTGTCCAGTCCTAGATTGAGATCAGTTTTTCTTATCTGCGCGTGCGCATTACGTGTTTTGTGCTCAAGCGCATGCGTATTTGCAACACAACAATGGCGGTTCATGGATTCCGAAACACGAGGAAGCGTGAACTTCGAAGAGCTTATACTTTAATTTGTGCAACTATTTCGCTTGGGGGGAAGTGGATTCTAACTAAGTAAGTTATAATCTATAGATTCATGTAAAAATTATGTAGTTACACGAGGGGTGCTACGGAATCTGTTTTCTAAGCATATTTTTGACCCTCATCTCACGGCCTATAAAGAACTGAACAAGATTTTCAAAATGACAAGACAAGTTTGTTATATTTAAGGAAGTGATTTTTACAGTATGATTCAAGAATAAAAATCTAAATTTAAAACAATGTGGCCCAGGACCATAAATACATTTTATTCTTTGTTTGTTTATGCATTTTGCAGGCAAAAGTAGAATCGCCACTTTATTCAAAGATCAATTTTCTCTTGCATACCTATCAGTAACTATGGAACAAGTTCAGTTTGCCTTGGGAGTTTCTCTTTTAGTATTAAATCACATAAAAACCGCATTTAATTAATCACCTTCTCGCCAATTTTATACGACACATTTTGATGTCGAAATTCAAGCAAACCAACGCCTCTGGCTCTGACTCAGTATTGACTATTGATCAGTGGACGAGGCGTTTTGTTCACAATAATTTCCGCCATTCTGGCTGGCATTGACAAAACCGAGGGCAAAGCGAATATATTCCACTGGATCAGGTTTAACAACAGCCTACAGTCAGTTCCTTGCCGTTTTGTCTCTATTTCTGTATATATAAAATCAAGAAACCGAGAAAGAATATATAGGATCAGCGTATATGTGTTTGTTTGACCTGCACACTCAGCCATAAAATTAGTATCTCGCCCAATCTGCCTGCCAGTTGGATAACCGAAGGTTAAGGATATAGTTCCATTTAAATTTCAATCAAAATATCGAAGAAATTTCCAGAAACATCTAATTTATACTCGATTTTGTCAAGAAACTACAGTAAATCATATGTATTTTGTTTTGATGACTTCCTGGTTTGACGTCACACCGGCATTCTCGCCCCAGTACTTTTATGCTGGCGGCCAAAGGCTCAAAATAGGCAAAATCGCCAACTTTGAGCCCCCGAAAGTCCATGAAAATCAAATTTTCGAATTATAAAATATATTGCAAAAGTTCTTAAAATCATCTAAACTATCTAAATAAGCTGATTCCCAAACTATGACATAGGCACTTTAAACGTCAATTTGTGGCTTGCAAATTCAGATAAACAGCAGTGGACTTACATTACCTTTTTCCCTAAATCTTTTTGATAGAAACATAAATGGTACTTATTTAAATATATTATCACTGGTTTGGTGTAAAATAGTTAATATTTTCTGACCGAAATAATAATTTGAAATGTGCCTACCTCCTGCAAATGGACGTTCTCCACTTTACTCCGCTGTTTATCGGCGATCTCGTCGACATCCTACAAAAAATGTAAATCATCTCAGACATAATGGTATCAAGAACATTTTAAACAAGTTTCAACTTGGTTTCAAGTAGATCATACCTGTTTAACAATCGACAAGGTAAATCCACAACTTTGTCCAAATTCGGCGCCATTTTGTCATCCCATGTCGCTTGTTAACAATTCAGCCTTGTTACTCTTCCATCCAAGCCATTTCCATTCCACTAATAATCAATTTAACCCTTTATAACAGGAGGAAACTAAAAAATCTAAACAAAATATAAGAAATACGCCATTTTATCACCATGTAAAATTTTGCTCACGAGTCTTTCAAAACATTCCGTACAAATCTCGCGTGGTTTAGCAACAGGGACGTGACAGGGGGGGTAGAGACTTGAAAAATGAAACGAAAGCCCACACAGTATGGTAAAACCAACAATCAACATTTAATTTGTATGACTTTTTCATATTAATAAATAATAATATGTATATATTTGTCGCTACAAGAAATAAAACAAACATTTGTATGATTGTATTTAGCTTTTAGTCTATTTCACGCAGCCTTCTTCTATCTTCGTGAAATAATTCTCCCCCTCCTGTCACGTCCCTGTTACTTTGTCACGCGATATTTGTGCGGAATGTTTTGAAAGACTCGTGAGCGAAATTTTACATGGTGATAAAATGGCGAATTTCTTATGTTTTGTTTAGATTTTTTAGTTTCCTCCTGTTATAAAGGGTTAAATTTATTATTAGTGGAATGGAAATGGCTTGGATGGAAGAGTAACAAGGCTGAATTGTTAACAGCGACATGGGATGACAAAATGGCGCCGAATTTCGACAAAGTTGTGGATTTACCTTGTCGATGGTTAAACAGGTATGATCTACTTGAAACCAAGTTGAAACTTGTTTAAAATGTTCTTGACACCATTATGTCTGAGATGATTTACATTT